ATAAGTGCACTTCTAAAAGTTTAACATTTTTCCTTGAAGTGCTAACAAATGGTACTTGAAATTATAGAATTTTTTTTTTGACGATCATAAATTAACCTCTTATTTCATAGAGTTAAGTATTTATTTCACAGAATTAGTGCATTTGTTCCTTCATCCTTCAATCGAAGAGATACTTTGAAAATATAACTAAAATGAATTACGGAAGAATTTGAATTAATGCAAAAAATACTTGTGATACTGTAACTGAATGTCGATTACTTCTCTTCCTCCTTCTCTCTCTCTCTCTCTCTCTCTCTCTTTTATTCTTTCTCTTTGTTTCTTCAAGAAATAGAACTTAAATTGTTATTAAATGCTAAACTTATGTTTAGTAATATTTAATTGCAGTACTCGTGAACAATTATTAAAATGTATTCAATCATGTACTAATGATGAACAAGAAGAATTAAGAAAGAACATATCACTTAGTGAATATATATGTAAGGATAAATTAGAAGGTAAGTTAAAAATATTTTTATTTTAATTAATTAATTATTATTTTAATTAATTTTTTTTATTATTTTATTATTTTAATTAATTTAGTAAATTTCTTATCATATCATTTATTATAGTACTATTGCTACAATATAATAATCATTCGAATAATAGAAATTTAATTAATTTTTTTTTTAAAAAAAAAAAAAGTTTCTATTAAAGAATTTCGATTGGTAAAGGAATGTATGGGAAATCAAGGTGATATTGATAGTGTCAACAAATGTTCCAACGAATGTGGACATCCTCTAGATGCTACAATTCAACTTGATTCATCACCATTTGCACCTGTTAATCCATTTGCAATCACTGATAGCACTACACAAATTTGTCGGTTAGTATATTTTGGTAGTAAATTATATTTACATAATTAATTAACTAAAAACTAATTGTTTATTTGTGCCTAAAATAATTTTCATTAAACTATTTTATTTTTTCTTTTTTATATGTTTTAAAATGAACTTTATTCATTTTCTAGTATTTTTATTAATAGAAGGTACTAATGAGTTACTGTAACTTTTATTTATATTTACAGTACGATTGAATGTACCATCAAATGTTCCATCGTGGAATCTAATAAGATATGTGCTGGAAGTGGTTATTTATTTAGGGTTTGTTTGTTTGTTTTCTTTTCTTCCAGAATATTAGTTATAATGTTTTCTTAAGCTTAAAAGTATGCTAAATTTTATTAATTAGATGAAAAATTAATTAAAAATTAATTTTGTTCATAATTTCATCTATTTGAATTGAAGAAAAAAATAAATTAAATACGATAAATTAAAAGTGTAATTTCGTATAATTCAATACGATGAACATTAAATTATATATTGTTTAAGTTTGCATTCAATATTATTTAATCACACACTGTAATTTAAATTATATATTATTTAAGTTAATAATATGCGAATTTAATATAAATTGTTGAAAGTAATATTTAATTGTTTCACTAAAAATCAAAATAAGGTGCAATTAACAATTGTTTAATAATTCATCGAATTGTAGTAATTTTAGAAAAATTCATAAAATTATCCATCTGCAAAATTATCATTTCAAATTATTTTTAGAGAAACAATTATAAGTTAAGTTATTTTTAGATAAACAAATCTTCAGAATATCCATTGTTACAATAATAAATCTGAGATGAAACTATAGTATAATACAATTAATTAATTTATTTTATAAAATTAATAAAATCAATTTTCAATTAACTATCATTAAATGAACAGGAATTTTTGTAGGATATTGGCTTTAAACAAGTATTGGAAGCAAATGAACAATTGCAAAATGATGCATTAAATTTATCATCAAGTACTCAACAATTAACAAAGATATATTTAGAATCACTTCCTCAGCAATGTACATATATTATTAATCCTACCAATTACAACATGGTATTAACTTTTTTATCATTTCTTTAAAAAAAAAAAAAAAAAAAAAAGACCTAAGCAATTATCTTATCAGTCATAATTAATTCTTCGTTTCTTTTATCTCTTATCAGTTTACTTTTTCATTTTTTTTTTTTTAGACATTTGAAGAGCATAAAACAAACGATGAATTCAAGACATTAATATCAGAAACATCGGAAAATGAAAAAAATATGGTAAAAATTAAATTTTATAAAAAAAAAAAAATAGGATGAAACATTTTATAAGCTAAATTAAATTTTTCTATTATCTTTTAACTCTTACTTTCAAATTTAGTTGTAATTGTAAATGTTACAGTAGCTGTAAATTTAGGATGAAGAAAGAATAATTCCTGAAATGCTTAGTACAAATAATGATGCTATTATAACACGAATAATTGATGAACAATTTACAACTAAAACTATTGATGTATCAAATGATGATGATACAGCAAAAGAGGTAAATTCAATTTTCTTTTTTAGTAGAAATGAAAAAAAAAAATAAATTTTAAAAAAAGATTGAAAAAATGTTAAAATTTTTTAGCTTAAATTTAAATTCATTCATTTTGTTTTTTTTTTACAGCCATTTTGTTACAGTTACAGCTAAAAATAATTTAAGAAGATTTCAATTGATTAAAAATAGCATCAAAAATTATGCTAACTGTTGCTCATGAATATGTGAGTGGAATTTAGAAAATGGAAAATGAAGAAACAACGATTGCTAAAATTGAAAATGAATTTGATAATATAATGGAATCAACAACATTGGATAATGTAGCATTTACTACAGAAAATATTGATACTACATTGCTAAAATCTGAAATAACGGTAAAGATTAAAATATATTATCAAAATTGTTGTATTCTTATTAAATTAAATAAATATAAATGAGAATTGAAGCGGAAATGTTCTAATAAGAATATAGCATCTCTCTATTTGTAATTTTATTCATTTGTTTAATTTAATTTAATTTAATTTGTTTTCTTAATTACAGTCAGAAATTATGGAACAAGAAGAGGAGGAAGAAAAAGAAGATAATGATAAACATGATGATGATGATGATGATAAATTATCAGCAACAACAATTTCAACAGATGAACAAACAAAAAATATGGAAGAAACTACTGTAGCAAATAATGAGGAAGAGAATGAATCAGTCAAATGGTGGTCATCAACAATGGTTACAATTCAAAAAACGGTTAAATTTTTTACATTTTAATAATTTAAAAAATTTGTTTCATTAATTAATAGATGATGATTATAATATTATGAATGGATAAGGAGAATAATGGGGAGTATTTTAATTTAATTATCATTGAAGTAATGATTATATAGAATGTGAGAAATTAAATTTATTCTAAATTTTATTTAAATTAATTAAATTAAATCAATTCAGTTAAAAAAGAAAATTAATATTAGGATGAAAATGATGAAAGAGAAAGCAACAAGTTACAGCATCAAAGCACTTCAACCATTGCTCAAGAGATGACAGAACGTACTATAGTAGTTGTAAATGATGATGATAATGATAATGATAATGAAATTGATACTAATACTATTGTAAAAGCTGAACAACAAAAGGTTTTTTTTTATTTCTATTAGCAAATATCTCTATTATTAATTAATGCAATTGATAATTTCTTTTTTTTTTAATTCAGTTAATATTTTTTTAGAATAAAAAAAGAAAACCCACACATAAGCAAAAAATTCGATTGATTTTCAAAAATTGAAATTAAAAAATTAAAAGATAGAAAAAGTAATGATTAAATGAGAAATGAGTAAAATCATAATTTTCTTTTAGGATGCAACAAAACATGGCGTACGTGAAAGGATTACTCTATCATTACTACTGATATTTCCATCAATGTTGTTATATCTTTTCAGTCAATGAAATGATGATACACATTAATTTAAACTAATCTAAATGTATATATATAATTCAATTTTGATATGGTAATTATTTGCAGGATGGGATGAATAGAAATGGGTAGTTTTCAGGTTAACAATTCCTTTATGTAATTTCTCTTTTTTTTTTCTTTGATAAATATTCTATGGGGAAATATTCTTTCAAACATTTTTTGAAATTGATAATATCATTATCACTTTCCTCTTTTTCATTTCTCTCATATACCATCCCATAATGCACAAGTTAATATTTTTATCAAATTTGACCATCTCCTAATATTTTCTGACTAACTGCAATGAAAATTTTGGATATGATTATTGCAGTTAGCATTTACTAAGTATACCAATTAATATTTTTACCTCTTATTTTCTTCTCCCTCTTTTTTTTTTCTCATCCTAAACTCTTACAATTGTTAAAAAGGAAAAAAAAAAAAAAATCTGTTTCACATTTTATCTACGATGCCTTTAACAGTTAATAGTAAAACTTTATGGCTGAAATCTAAGTATTGAGAGAATAAAATATCTAATTCCTACACACAACTTCTTGCACATTGTTATGCAGAATTAGCTGAATAATAAGACAAATTTCTTATCTTCTCAAACTTCATATACAATAAGAGAAGAAATAATGAGATTTAAGTTTCATCTTCATAACACCTATGACTAACACTCAATGATAAGCAGAAAATATTCAACGAAGTGAGCAACAAGAAATTAAAAATTAGAAAAAATTGGGCAAAATAAATGAGTCAAATTGTTCCGGTATACTATGAAAAGGTCAACTGAAATATTGCTGTTGAAACTGACAACTCATTCGAAAGCTAAGTCATAAACATGCATGCATTGGTACTAAGTAATCGAGTATGAGTTAATGATATATTTCAAGTTGCAAAATTGATAGAATGCTTTCTTTAAAATAATTGTAACTTTATTTATTTTACAACATGACACACATTTCAGCAACATAATTTGACAAGTGTAACGAAAGCTGGAGATCAGCATGTTTACTTATCGGAAAATTCACCAAGATATAAAACCTGAAAAAAGCTATTAAAGCTGTTTACTTCTTTTCAAGCTTTAACCAATTTCATAAATGATGCAAATCTATTTAACAGTGATAAGATGATAAAGAAATCTTACTCAACAATGATAAAGTTAATATTTGTCATTGCTGATGCTTGACACGTCGACGTTTCTTCAATTTTCTTCTCCATCCATTTTTATTACCTTTTTTCTTCTCACTTAATCCAAATTCAACGATACCACTACACTGTAATTTATTATATCTTTTGCTAATGATTCAAATTATGCTATTACCAAACATAAATTAACGATTTCAATATTCCAAATCATGAATGAGTAAGAGTAAATACTCATTCCAGTTATAAACAAGACAAAAACAACACATAATCATTATGTTCAGCAAGATCATTCAATATTAAATAAATCTTTTGATGAAGATTTTACTCATTGCTCTGTTGCACTATTGAGAATATGGAAGTTTCAACTATGAAAAGAAATCTGGATTAAAAAAAAGATTACCTTGTCGAAAGGCTTTCCATGTTTTAATCTGTTACGCTTTTCCGAAAGCTTCTTTCCTGCTCTCTTTCCTCGTGCACGTCGTTTCTCTAACTTTGGTTCATTCTTTTCCTTAATGATTAGATTTGCTGTAATATATTCATCTCTTGTACAATAAGTTATACAAAAATTTTTTCCAATTTAAATAAGAGCATTCAAAAAAATTTTTTTTTCGAAAAATGCAAAATTCACTATAGGTTCTGCACCAGCATCGATGGTACCTTCAGGAGCTTCCGGAAGTTGAAAATCTAAATCGTCTAAATCCGACAAGTTAGTAAGACCACTACACGTTGAACCTAAATCCGTTAGAGTACCATTATCATCATCGTCATCGCTGTTATTGTGATCATCAGCAGCATTCTATAATAACAACACTATTATCATTATTATCAACAATTCTTTTAAAGTAAATTCAGAATTACTCACACTTTCTTCATTTGCAATATCATTTGAATCGTTGCATTCATTTGTTGCTATTTCTTCTGCACACTGGAAATTTTCTTTTTAGCTATCGTATCAAAAGAATAAAATATGTTTTTGTTTGTACATTCTGCTTCAGGTCTCGTCATATATCAGGCAGCAAATTATGTTAAAATGCTATCAAATAAGATCACATGTGTAGTTACTCGTTTTTTTAATGCATCATCAGCAGATATAATTACAATTTTAAACTATATAGAAATTTTTTAAACAAACTTTTACGTTATCTTCGCAATGTTCTTGTGCATTTTGCAGTTCACAACCTGGAGGAAGAACAAAATAAGGTAAACGACCTCGCTGAAAATCATTCAGCACAATTTTTGCTGCTGTGTTCCAGTCAGGTTCACCACCCTAAAACAGCTTTTATGCTCAGTTTTTAATAGGAAAAACTGAGAAAAAAAATGTAACAGCTCATGTCAAAGATATACATTAATTTTATTTTCATTTCCAGAATAATAAATCTAGAAAAGAATTCATGCATGAATAACTGCAATGGAACGATTTACCTTTAACAATCGACCTGTCTTAACACAAATTTTCGTTAAGAAATTATACACATCATTCCATGGGTCGATGGAATACGTCTTTAACAGGTATTGTTCTCTTACTCGATCCAAAACTCCCTGTACATGATTGATTGGATCTTTCACATTTTCAACACGTACCTACAAAACTGAGGTACTTTTATCAAAACTAAACAATCAATCAGCGGGAAAAGTTTTCAGTGTAATTGCATATTTCATGTTATTGACGACGTGCATGACATACTAAAAAGAAATTGTTTTGGCAACCGTTTACTTCATTTGTTAATTAAACTGACATAACTAATGAATTCGTTCTCCGAAAGATTTTAGAAAAATAATTACCTTAAAATGTAATTTAAACAAGTAATTAAAAAAAATTACTTTAAAATGATAATTTAAGTATATGCAAATATTACTTTATAACTATAAATTAACGGGCAAAAACAATACAGAGATTAAAAACATTGATATAAGAATTTAGACTAACCACTCCCTTCAAGATGATCTGAGTCTCCGAATCTCCTTGTGGATAAACAACACCTGGACAGTCAATCATATAGATACGTCGCATCAAACTAACGTACTGCCAAACCTTAATGCTTGTTTTTTTAAATATACATAGAAATACAAAATATCCTGCTACCATAAGTGATCAATTCTACAGAACTCATAAAATAAGAGAATCAAAACAAAACTTACTTTAGTTTCGCCTGCAATTGGAGCAGTTTTACATACTCGTTTAGACCGCAGTGTATTGATCATTGAAGATTTGCCAACATTTGGATAACCAATGAAACCAACGCTTATCTACAATGCGATTTCATCACTACCAACTACATATATACCGATGAAGAGTAGATAAATTACCTGTTGACGATCTTTATGAAGATTTGCGAACTGTCTTAATAGGTTAATCAGTGTCCCTTTGCCAAAAGAATGCTGCATAGAAGCATGGAAAGCCACTGTTGGCAGTTCTTGTGATAATAGTGTCAGCCACTTTTTCTGAAATAAAAATACACTTTAAAAGTTTACAGCATATTTCAGAAAATTTAAGCCAATTATAGTAATAGTACTATAAAACAATGAAGTCCAACTCTTTTTCTTATTATGCTTCTCTTATTGCGTACTAATCAGTTGTCGCATCCTCTCTGATGAAACAGACGAAATAAAAGTTTGAAGAATTGTATATAATAAAGAAAATAGGAATTGAAAAGCAAACAATATACCGTAATCCAAGTTGGCACCAAATCAACCTTGTTCAAGACCAAAATTAAATGCTTATGGGGCTTTTCTTTTCGTAAAAACTGTTCAATATGAAGACATCGAGTTCCCATTGGATCTCGTCCATCAACTACTTCCACAACAACATCTGATGAATCAATTACCTGAAATTCACAAAAAAAAAAGCTCGAAGAAATTACAGTCACATATTCTATCTTTACCATTGGAAAATAAAAGCGATACTATGCAACTGGTACACAAAAGACATAAAAATAAAACACCTTGTATAGCTCTCCCCAAACACGATTGCTCTGTCCGGCCTTAAATAATGGATTTGAATTCTCCACTGCTTCAGGAATGGCATTTTTTATCAAACTACTGTCAGTTGCTTCATCATATTGTTCGGTTCGTTGAACAACCTCGCCGCATAATGTCTACAAATATGAAAATTAGGGCTCTTTCATAAGCTTTCATAAGTAATCAAGTGATTACTTATGTAACAATCGTAAGATAGTATACCTCGAGACTTTCCACTTTGACCTTTGGCTTCTTCCTGAGAGCTTTTTTGCCGAAAGTGTATTCGAAGCTCTCTGTGTCAAGTACGTGAACACGCTGTTGCTAAAAATATTTCAGAGCTTAAACTTGGCATCATCTGAATCGATGCATAACACCAAATGATTATTTTGCTTCAGGAAAATTTAAACAATTGTATCGCTTCAATTGGTTTCGCCTGTATAAAAGCAGTTGGACTCAATGGATAAAGCTGTGCATCAATTAATTTAATATAAAGAATTAAAGGTAACACCTTTGCTTTTTCAGTTAACAACGAAATAGGGAGCTTGGTTTGCCGCATAACCACTTGGAATGGATCTTGCAATGCCTTTCCCAAATTCTCCTGGAATTTTTGTAGTTGTTCTTGTCCAACCACTCGAGTATTTCCTAAATTTAATCTGATTTTCTTTTGAGAACTTTGCTAAATTAACACTTCAGCAGCAACATTACCACATTCCTTTAATTTGTGGCCACTGAAATTTGCATTCCATAGCAATCCTGAACTGCTCACTCTATCTCCATAAACCACATGTATTCTCCCTTTTGTAATTTTGGTAGCAATCTTTACCACTAATTGAACAGTAAACACTTTTGCTTCATGAAGATTTTTTTTTCATTAAATTGCAATAAAATGAATAGTGTTTAAACTTTTATGTTATATAAAAGTCTTGCAAAAGAAAAATACACTTACCAAACCATTTTCGATGAGGTTCAACCCTGGCAACTGTTCCAGAAGGCAGTTTTTCTTGATAGGGTGCAGCTCTGACAATTTTACCTTTGGCATCTCTACAAAGAGATTTAAAAAATAAAAAAAAACTTTCAAATTTAAAGCAGTTACTCATAAAAAATTCATTGTGCAAATTTCTGATGCAGGATTACTTACCTGATAGGTTTGAAATTTTTGTACATGCGTAACCGATTGATTGTAGCTCTGGAGCGAAAATGATCTCCTTTCGCTTTACGATCTTCAATAATGAAATAAAATAAAAATGAAAAATTATAAACTGTTACTTCCAATGTATTATGTGTTTGGACTATTAACTTTAACTAAGTACTTTCAGAACTTTACTGCTATTGCTTGGATCTCTATTTGAAACTCTAAACCTTACCTGGATTCAAACTGTGCTCGCCTTTCTTGAACGTTAGACCCGTCCTCGTTCCCTGTGTACGTTTCATAAACTTCTTGCTGTTCATTGCAGCACTCCCAGAATCGGAACGACTCTTCTTCAATGATGAACGTTTTTTGGCCATGTTGCTTGTCCCTACAACAAATTAAACTTTATATACAATGTAAGCATTATCCGTTCTCGGCAAACATTGTAAATACTGAAATGCTAAATTAATAAAATAGAGCATGCATATAAACTGAGAAATCCCGTTTAAATGACGGTTTTGCAGCTAAAAAATCATGGTAAAACTTTTTATACTATTTGCAGTATACAAGAGAAACAAGGGACTACGAATCGTAAAATCTACATGTGGTACAGAAGCTTTTAAATAAAAGATCAGAATGAGGAAATCATCGAAAAAACTAGGGACACTGTTAAAAATGGCACAATTTCTTTCTTTTTAAAAAAGCAAGTACTAAATTCTTTTCATATGCTACCGTACTTTTCATATGTATATAGTCAATAAATAACAGGAGTGATTAATATACATAATGTACAAAGATATATAACATTAATTAAATAGAAAAAAAAGAAGATGTCACAAAATCTTACGCATTACAGCACTTCAGTCTACTATTCTTGAGATAACCAAAATTTGTTATCAATGACCTAACCCTAAACTTTAAATTTGCTTCAAATCACATCAGAAAAATTGTTTGAAAAAAAAATTCTTTCATATGCTATCGCACATGAAAAAATTTTGTCAATTTTTTTTTTGGAAATTTGTCAACAGCGATTAATATACATTGAGAATTAATGAATTACGTAATGAAATCTACAAACAATAAATCTCAATCCAAGTTAATTTCAGTAGTACTGGAAATATTGGGGGAAACAAGGACGTCATCTGCATTACTATCACCAGCTTTCAACGCTTGTCGCTGCTGTTCAATTGCTGATTCCACTATCGCTTTTTGTTCATCCTGACTTTTACGTATTGCTTCTAAATATTCGTCGTGTTCCTATAAAATTTGGTTACAGTAAATTATCACAATAAACTTTAACAGAACAAAGTAATTTCCAACCAATGCTGTTGCCATTAGAAAAAATTAGGAATACAAAACAACACCGTTGCTGATGAAAGCGAGATAAATCGCTATTAAGCTAAAAGTTTTCAATGTACAACTGTTAAGAAATTGAGAAGCAAAAGAACTATTACCTTCCGATAAGGCGGAACTGTGAGTTCCGACAATGCACAAGTTGTTTTCTTAATTTGTTCGTTAAGCTTTCGCAAATCATTCTTTACTAGTACCATTTCCAAAGGTACATCTGCCGCTTCCACCAACTGCAATACAACCAAACATGCGTTCAATATTGGCTTAGATCAAATAATCAATAACAGAATAAAATATATGTAAGAAAAGAAATGTACAATCCTAAATAATGCTCAATTTCCGACCTAAAAGATATCTGGGATTTAACGGAATTTACCATTTTGCAACAGTAACTTTTGCAAACAATGATGATTCCCAGTAAGTATGAAAAGATATCAGTACATACCGAATGACTAGCACGAATAATACCATCAAATTCTTTATGCCGTTCATTTCGTTCAAAATTGTCCAGAAATTTGTTAATTTGATTTCGTATCAAAGAAGTATGATCAAATATTTGCTCACCAACCAAGCTAATATCCTCCATTAATGTAGAGACCGAAGCCATTACTAAAAAGAGCGACAAATTCTAGTTATAAAGGATTACTCGGCACTATAAAATTGATTCTTACATACTTAATTCCCATTTACCAATTTCCATAATCCTCTTATTCTCTTGATCTAAGTAAAATGCTACTGAAAGTTATAGAATATTCTCTTTTCAGGGACATGTTCTCAACTTTCTTACTCAGAGTCTTAAAACCATACTGTTGTCTAGTGATAAGGAATATTTTTAAAACATAACATTTTTTCAAGAAAAAAGAACTGTTGCAACATAATGATCGAATTATAATTAAGCAAATTTGAGTGACGCAGCTCTGCAACTGCAGCAGACCCAGAGATCCGACTTATCACTATTTACTTTTCTTTAATTTTTGGGCTTACTATTTTCACATTAAATATTTATGAATCCAACAGCCCATCCGAGATTTCTGATAATTATGCCGATTCCACAAGTGTCTGCACATAATAAAATCATTAGCAAGGTTTCGTACTACCTATCTTAAAACTGTTTTTCAACAGCCAATACAAAACTTATAAAACTTTTATCCCAAATTAAGTAAAACAAAGAAACAAAGTTAGTACAGCATAATAAGCATAGGACTGTATAAATTTAAAGAATGCTAAAGATAAAGAACAAATAACTGGTTAAGAAGAAGGGATAACAAAACATTATAGAAAACAAGGAAAACGGATCGAAAGATCAATGATATCTACATAATATTAAAAATTTTATCGTTTGCAATTAAATTCGTTGGAATCATAGTCAAAAAGTACGGTTAGACATCAATGCTTAGCCAGTAGTCTCCGCTGAGCATATTAAACGAGAAAAAAGTACATATATCTATAAATTATCTGTAAAACAAAATAAAAATCTGAAAATATTACTTATGATATCGAAATATCTCATCGAATGTCTACTCTGCCACTCTATGTCTTTCAATACCAGATTCGCTCATTATACATATATGACCTAAATCTCGAAACTTCTGGTTATAGTCCAATCCAAATCCCACGACGAATTCATCCGGTACGTCGAAAGCAACGAAATCTTCTTGCACCTGAAAATACAATTAATAATAAATAACAGACTCGATGTAATAAAATGTAATGTAATGAGGCCATGAACATCAATATTCACGTCACACTGCTCTCCGTTTTATTGCTTTATAACTAAAACCGCTTACCATTTTTGTGATATAAAATACAAAGCCAGATACCTCAAATTCTCTTTTGCATCTCTTAGACAGCAAAATCGCGGTCCATTTCTGCTTTATACCCATTTCTTCTAGTGTTTTCAGAAGTTGTAACATCGTTGCACCACTATCTACGATGTCTTCTACGATCTATATCAATATTTCATTTGAACATTTTTGTAGTATAGATAAGACTACTATTAAGTAGCACAGCTTTTTGTTGGCAGGAAGAATTCCGCAATTCCTAAACTCGATTTTCTCAATCTACCACGACGACAGATTTACGGAATTGTAAGTGAGACGACAAACATGTTCACCCATTCAATTTTAAGAAACAAATTTCCATTTAAAACAAGATCCAAAACAAAGTTGCAATAAACATAAAACATAAATTCCTACCACAACATTCTTATTTTCAAGCTGTTTCGCATTCAAAAGACCAATTATTTCCAGTGTGTCAGAACGATCCGAATTCGTATAACTCTAAACAAACGCAGCGTAAAAACTTCTTTAAGGACTAACATGATTACCATAAAATGGCCATAGCATTCAGTCTTACTTACTTTTTAGATTGAACAAAAAGGCCACAAATCAATTACTAAACGTCTGCTAAGTAAGTTAACTAACAGACTAAACTAGAAAAACCAAACAAGAATGCATAAATCCATATGAATATAACAGTTGTCATAGTGTCATTAATTTGAAAAACTTTTGCTTCTAGATGACAAATCATCTTTCTGAAGATTTCTTCTTCCTTGCTTACCTGTTGACGATGTTTTGGTCCCCTTCAAGACATAGCATTTACAGCAGAAAAATTTCCACTAACTACTAACCAATAACAACATTTACAATGCTGCAACGAACGACATGGGATCAGCTCATTTCATTATGATACTGTGAAATGAAGGATGCCTAATGATAACCTTAAGTCGAATGAATTCAACTTCCAGCGGATGTTTGCAGGACACTCGAACATGAGTTAATTCTTCAACTAATTCCGTAAAAAACCGAAATGAACCTTTCAGAATACAAAGTATTATCAGCGGCTGCAATAATGAAGTCTTGTAAACCACATAAATATGAAAATAAAACAACTTTAGACAAGTTTTTCGAATACAGATCTTGCTAACAATTTTCGTCAACAATTTCTTCTATATTCTCGAAATGAGGAGGCACAGAAAGACCTGAAGCGAATAACAACGCAACATTACTTTATCACCGGTGACTTGAAATATTTCTCGTGCGAGACACTTGATTCGATCACTAATAAGACCTTTTGGTATTAGTACTGATTTCAGGTCACCACGGTAACAATTTGGAAGTACGAATGACTCTAATTTGAACTGAAAATTTCAAAAAAACCCGAAAAATGAAGAAAAAAGACAAAGAAAGAAAAATGAAAAGAGAGACATAAAGCGCACATCATTTCCATGAATCAGGTTACCTCAGTATTATCAGGAATTGAAATCCTTGACGATTTTGAACCTTTTTCCATGGCTTGCCTAGCGAACAGTCTAGAAAATTGCGCTGTATATTCCCAAAAATGATATCAAAACATCACGATTTAACTCAGTACTCATCCACGATAAATTGCACAATAAAACAAATAAAAAAAAAGGTCATTTGTACCAACAATATTGAAAGAAGCATTTTTCATATAATATTTTATTGCATAACATGTAGACTACTGCCTTTTATAAGCAAACCGCTGAAGTACGGAATATTAGCAAAGCCCGAGAAGTCGTTCCTGTGAAAATTGCAAAAACAAGCATTCATTAGGTGATAATTGGCCTCAAATTTGTAATAGCCTAGAATTTGAATTCGTCAAGCTAAGTAATGAAAATATTCTATATTATGAAATTTGACTTTATGAGATCAGTTAACCCTTTAAGTATATGCTTGAAAGCAATCTGAGAATTTAACAATACATTCCAAACGACAGATTTCGTAATTATGATTTAGAACAGTCCTTCAGAAATCCCATCCAGAATAATCCTTAATAATCTTTGCGTTGGTTTTTCTTCCTCGAACTAATGCGTTAGCTTTCCCTTTCACTCGCAAACGTGTCTTTTTCTTTGCGTTCATTTCTGCAGCTACACGCTTTCGGACCACCTAAAATATTTGATACAATTTTTCAACTTCACAACTCTAAATTTTAATATATACGAGATGTTTCATAATATTTTATTTGGGATATTAGGCTATCAGTATAGACAATAAGCTATAAAGTC